TCCTTGTCTGCTGGGAGTGTGGAGTAGTTGGGATCCTTACACTGGCTACCTTGGCGAAGACAAGTCTCCGTGTCTACTGGGAGTGTGGGGCCAGGTTTACTCAAGTTTTGATACTGGGTCCGTCTGCTTCATTGCCCTGTGTGTGGGGAGCACTTGAGATTTCCCTCTGATTTCTGCCCTGTACATATAGCCTTGCTGTGAAAGCTGACCATCATACGTCGGTTTTTACCCATTTGTTTGCTGACAGCCCAACAGCAGAGGGCTGCAGAGAACTGATCTTCAGCTTAGGTTTCACAGAGTGGAAATTGCTCTCCTCACCAAATTTACTTTCTCAGACGTGGGTTAGAAGCAGTCAGAAGCTGTTTAAAAAGAGAATTTAAGCCAGGTGTCATGCTCCTGGTCTGTAATCCCAGGACTATGAGAGACTGAGTCTGGAGAATGTTTGAGCCCAGTCTGAACTATTCAGTCAGACCCTGTCTCAAAAATTGTTTAAATTAAATAATGACTTAATCGCTTTTCATTTTTTGAGAGGAGACATCAAGTAGAGACTTGTTAGCTTCCACTTTTGGCTGCATTGCACACTGTCCGTTGCCCTATTTATGCATTATTCACCATAGTGACTAGTATTTATGTCCAGCGTGACTATTGTCACCACACAGAACAGAGCGGAGTGCGTGGACTGTGGGCATTCTGGGAATGGCATTTGTTTTAGCGGTAGGTAAATCTGGCATGAGAACTTTGTCAGGTGACTAGGAAGCCCACTAGGATGTGAACGTGGCTCATTCCGATGATAAGCTGTGTAGCTCTGGGGCTGCACTGAAAGGTGGCCTATGAGAAGGCTTTGAAGTTTGGATTGCACTGCAGGTTGAATGAGTTCCCGTTGTGGGCCATCAGTGGCTACCTTTCATTTTCTCGGCCAAGCCAGTCCTTCGCACTTGGCCTTGATGTACCTGCCAAGTTGGGCTCTGAAGACCTGCCTTGCCAGCAGGTGTCTTTGAGATTGCCAGGCCAGGCCCCAAAGAGCAGCAGTGATCATGACGTCAAGGTGTAGTTGGCACCTGAGGCTTGTGCTTCGTAAGGACAGGTACCATTTCTGTTCTCTGCACTGATGAGTACTGTGTGCTTAGCACATTGCTGGAGCATAATGTCCAGGGTAAATGTTGAATGTTGACTGAATTACCATTTCACTGGATAAGTTAAAAAAAAAAAAAAAAACATTAGTTGTTTGAAAAAATGAATTAACTACAAGTTAGTCATATCTGTCAGAAAAATCTTAAGAAATTTGTTGATTTACCTTTGATTGGCCTGAATTATATAGTATCTTATGAATTTAAATAATGAGGCTATTTCTTTAAAAAAATTTTTTTAAAAATATGGTTTGTTACTTTTCTCCAGAATTTAAATGAATATAGCCGAAGTCAAAGCACTTTTAATGTGTAATTATATTCTGCTTGAATTTTCTATATGCTGGTTTCTAGGAGAGATGAGTGAGGCCCTTGTCCTTATGTGAAGATCCCAGAAAAGACTGCCTATTATGAGCAGTGCTTTGGGAGCCATGCTCAGTTTCTGTGTGAAAGAAACAGTGACTGTTTGGCTTCTGTTTCTGTTGGTCTCTCAAAGTAGGCCTATAAAATGGAGTTTTTTTCTATACTCTTCCTCATCTTAGCTTCTCAAATTGTGCCCTGTATAAGGGTTGTTACCACCCAGTTACAATTTTGTGATTTGAGTATAGTGTCAGGCAGTGAAGCAAAAGTCTTAGTTTATTACAAAGTGTTTTAGTACAGTGTAGAGTGCAGGCTTAAGCATTATTTAAAGAGCTAGTGGAGGGGACAGCTGAGACTGTCTTTCCACTAGAGCAGAACAGAATTGGTCTTTTCCACTAGCTTAGTTCTGTCAGAAATGAGTACATCCTGTGTTTGTGTTCTTCTTATACTATGATTTTCTTTCTTCCTTAAGTTTTAAAATAGACACATGTAATTGTTCATATTTATAGAGGACAGTATACAGTAGTTTCTAAGTACGAAATATGGCACATATTACTGAATTGGTGCCAGAGTGTTTTCTAGAAGCTGCACCTGTTTTTTGTTTTAAAAGGCAATCTTGTTTGTGTCAGCATTGTACAAAAGTACAGTAGGAGCTGGGCACAGTGGCACAGGTCTATAATTATAGCACTTTGGGAGATTGAGGCAAGGAATGTGCAAATTTGAGCCCAGCCTTAGCAGTTTAGTGACTTAGTGAGACCGCATCTCAAAATATAAAATAAAAAAGGGCTGGGCTGTAACGCAGTGTGAAGGTTCTGGGTTCAGTTCCCAGTGCTGGGAGGGAAAAGGAAAGCACAAAATCAGCTGGATTTGGTGGTGTATGCCTATACACCCAGCTACTTGGGTTCTGAGGTAAGAGGATTGAAAGTTTGAGGCCAGCCTAGCTACATAATGCAAATGTGCCTTAAAAACAAAAGCGGAACAGGATGACAACAGCAAAAAAGGCTGGGAGTAGAGCTCATTGGTACAGAAGCCCTGTGTTTAGGGGCTGGGGATTTAGCTCAGTGGCATAAGCACCTTCCTTGCAAGTGTGCGGTCGTGAGTTCGATCCCTGATACCGATTAAAAAACAAAACAAAACAAAACAAAACAAAACAAACGAAAAAGACAGAAGCCCCGTGTTGGATTCCTAGTACCAAACACCCCCCCCCCCCATAGAGTACAGGGGTTACCCCCATGTTTTGTACAAAAATTAAATGTCCTTTGCATTTGTAATCTTATTTGATCCTGTGTTACTGGAGGAGTGAAATAGCTTAGCTAGGAGCTGGATGGGAGGTGTCAGAGGCTGTTGGGTGTCCGTTCAGCGCCCCTTCTCAGTGACAGAGTAATGATGCGGGAAGGTTTGTCTTTTAAACTGCTGCCTCTGTTGTGCATGATGTGGATGTCGGTTTAGAAGTGAATGGAGAGGAGCTCACAGGGTGGAAATCACAGTGAGGCTTTGGAAGTAAATAATCCAGAGCATTTTACTGACTCCATTTCCTCTGCTTCTGAGTTCACTCTTGGCTGATGGACAAGATGGACCACTGGCATCTGAAGCTTTAATAGTGCACAGTTCTATGTGACGCGATTGAGTAATTCATCTTACCATAATTTAATTGGAGTTTAGGACTCTTTAAGAAATCATTGAAGTTTCATTTAATTGTATGCATTACCATAAAATATTTATCTAAAAATGTTATTTACCAAGTTTGGTACCTATATGTAAATTGTTTTCATGCAGAAAATCCTGGATATTTTAATGATTGTTTTTGGAAGGGCCTTAAGAAACTTTAGGACAGTCTGATATTTGCAGAGATCTATGCCAGAATATCAATGAAGCTTTATTCAGTCTTGGTTTCTTAAAAGTATAAATTGGTAATTTGTATGTATATGTGCATTTGGATGTTTACATTGAGAACCAACGCAAAGTAGTCTCATGAAAACCATTAGAATTACAGAGGCACTGTCATTGTTTTTTTTTTTTTTTAATTAATAAGAACAATTATTTTCTTTGAAAAGACTTTTTATTTTTGGTACTGGGGATCGAACTCACAACCTATGCTTGCCAGGTAGGCTGTTATGCCACTGAGCTAAATCTGGCTTGAAAAGACTTCATTTTTTCAATGCTTATTGTTTTAAATAATTACTTTAAATACCTAAAGTAATGCCAAAATATTTAGAAATGCTTTAGTAGGTGATTTTTTTTTTTAACTTTAAAACTCTTAGTTTGAGTGAATGATGACTTGAATTTGAGATTTGAGGTTGAATTCTGGCCAATTGAATTCCTAGCACAAGAAATTAACCAGAAATTCACTTGTATTTTGATGGTAATGATGAAAAATGTTAAACATCCTGTACACATTGGAGTGCACAACTGAAGTGAGATTTTTGCTTGGAATTTGCCGTGCTGGCAAGAGGAGGAGGGAAGCATTATGGTGGAGAAGGTGGTGACTGCCACCTAAGGTACTTACTTGTCTGTGTTGTCACGAAGCTGTGGAATTAGGGACTGACTGGGCAATAGGTTTACTGTGAGAAGCCGAGGGGGCATTCCAGTGGTAATCTCGAGAAAAAGGAAGGTAACGAAGGAAAGTGACGGTGAGAAAAACATTCCCAGTATTAGCTTATTTTCTCGGTGTTTGTCTTGGAGGAGTATTAAAAGAGGCAGAGAAACCTGATTAATTAATGGATTTTATAGAAGTTGTTGGGAGTGATTGTTTTTCCAAAATAATTTTAAGATTGCTAAATAATGTTTTAATATTAAGAAGTTTGGGTACTTAAATTCTTTAAACAAATTTGGAAACAGAGGTTCTTGTATATAAGTATTTGGATTTTGTGGATTTTTGAAGTTCATGTAATACTATGTGAAATTGGATTGGTTAAATTAAAAACAATCGTGCGCTCTCTAGGATATTTGCAAGGCTAAATAGTAAAACAAAACAAAACAAAACAAAACAAAACCTCAGTTTACCTTGCTTTCAGCTTCCCAAAATTAACTGAGACTGAGAAGGTAGCAGAGTCTTTCTTTGGCTTTGACTGTTTGCTTATTGTGCCCTGTGCTGCTTGCATCTCACATTAGAAATTCTTCTGAAAGCCTGGTTTGTCCTCCTGTGGTTTATTTTACTGTTTTATTTGACACCTGACATTTTTGTTTCTATTATAAGCAAAGCGTCTCATATTACTGTGCTTTGGTGCTGTGTCACATCTTAAGGTGGTTATTTTGAGGGGCACACACCATACACTGTATGACAGGACCCACGGTAAGATGTGGCGCAGAAGGGTCATATGTTTGTCACAGAGAAATAAGAAAACAGCTTTGACTGATGTGAAAGCTCAACTCCCATGGTAGAACAACTTCTCTGAGATTTCAGAGACCATCTGCTGAAGGTGTTTCACAGATGCCTACTTGTGTGCTGAGTGCCCCTAATAACCAGGGTGTGAGGGGGCATTGGGCATGTTAACTTAAAACTGTTTTCTTTTTTAGGTCCACAACTCCCAGGCCTGTTGCAGATCTCCAACTCCTGCTTTGTGTGACCCCCCAGCATGCTCTCTGCCGGTGGCATCACAGCCACCACAACATCTTTCTGAAGCCGGGAGAGGGCCTGTAGGGGTAAGGAGAATCCCGTTTTTAAAAGCTATCAGTATTTTATATCCCATGGGTATAAAATAGGAATATTACCTCCCTTCCCAGAGCCCCTTTAAACATGTGCTGTATCATATGTGTTTTTAAAGGAGTAACAAGTACATGCACAGAGGAAGCAAAATACGGGACTTGCCTTACCCCTCTAGGACAGTTCCAGAAGTTAGTGGGGTTTGGTTGAAGGGTACTTGGGCACCAGCAGAGAGCATGCTGGGCTGCTGCCAAGAGCGGGAGCTGGCAATCAGCAACGAGTATGGATCTTGGCAACTGAAATGGGGGGAAATGGGGGTAAGTTTGAGCCCGTGTGTGGAACGTGCACATCCCAAGGCTGTTTAGGCCACCGGCCCACAAATTGAAGCTGTTTGGGGTGCTGTACATCTATGTTCTGGAGGGCTCTCTAGAGACCAGGAGGCTTTACTGTAATGCTGGATCTGGAATATGCGTGTCAAAGGCTTGGGCTGCGTTGCAGCCCTGGCTCTCCTGGCTGTGCCGTGGTGAACCTGTGCCCGGCAGTGATGGAACGTGGTAAGGTGCAGTGGCTACAGAATGCAGGCCTGGTAGTGGTTGCCACCAGGGTTGTTCCCGGGCAGTGGCACTTTCCTCCTGGGAAGGATGTGCATGCACTTGTCTTCTTTGCCTTCCTGTAGGAGGACTTATGGCAACTTCTGAAAGACCAGTGTTCAAGAGCAATGTTGTCACCAGTGAAGAGCAGTCTGACTGCAGGACATAGCTTCTCACTAACGGGAGCGAGCTCACGCACTGCAGGGTAGTGCTGCTCTCTGCTGACCCATTCTGTTGCGGTGTGCAGCGTTCCTTGTGGCGCTGAGAGTCCTCCAGATGAACTGCGTCACTTGCGGGCAGGACTGAGGAGCTGGTGGCCAGCAGAGTGGGAGAGGGTGGTCTTCCAGGTGCATATGGCACCTTGCTCTTGTAGCGTAGGCTCGGCCAGCATGGGTTTCTTGAGCAGCTAGCCTGCGGGCCACCAAGGGAGGGCGCAGGTCAGTGAGTCTCAGGTGGCAGAACTGGGATATGGGATTGGGCTGGGTTGTGGGCTGTGAAGGTTAGGTGGGTTGTGATTTTTATGTGTCAGGCAGGAAGAACTTGCCATCTGTTTTCCTTCCTGGCGAGCTGTCTTGCTGAGGCTCTGCGCCCCCCCCCCCGGGGGGGGGCAGCAGCGTGCTGTGTGTGGGAAAGCTGTAATCTGGAGATTAGGGCTTTTTTCCTGTGTCAAGGGCAGAGGACCAGGCCAGCAGAGATGGGCTGTTAACAGCAGTGTTGAGATCAGGAGTGCTGGCTATGACAGTAATAGCTTGTTTATACAGCAACTGTAATTACTCAAAAATTTAAGAAAAATCACAACCGGTTCACAGTTGTAAACGACTCTTAGGTTTCTTTGAAATAATAGTCATGTACAATAGAAGGTGTAACACAGTGTGATGAGTAGAATTCAGTTCTTATTCCTGGGACAATACCAGTGTATTGACATCCTAAGGGACAAATTAGTAGAGTGCTCACCACCTACTTCTATATGTATCTGCAAGTTGAGTGTGGTGACACACATCCGTAACCCCAGCGGCGGTGAGGGGCTGATGCAGGAGGATCACTGGAAGTTCAAGACCAGTCTGGGCCACGTAGCAAGACTCCATTTAAACAAAATCTTCAACCCTTTTAGTTTGTTTCTGTGTGTATCTACAAAATGAATTTTGCTCTCAGCCTGGTCCTTTCTTGATTTACTCTCTGATGAGGATGGTGTCAGTGTTAGACTGTTTTAATTTATCATAGTATTAACTAGGATTTGCTGAAGGCATAGTTTTGTCCATAACACTGATTTTTAGTAAACACTGTATAGCAGCATTAGTAATAGCCAGGATTTATGTTTTAGAAGCAGTGATAATCATGAGCATTGAGGATTTAAATAAATTCCAGATTGAATGAGCACCGATTCCATCATATGTAGGTTGGAGATGCAGCCTGTAGTAAGATGCAGAATCGTCTTTTAGTCAGGATGCTACTGCACAGAGCTATCTATGACTGTTCTTTAATGATGATTTGCGCTGCCAAAGTCATTTATGCTGGATCTGAGTTGGACCCAGTTGGCAGAGCTCCCCTCCCCCTTGTGTGGAGCTCTCATAAATTCTGCAGGCACACAGATCTAATACAGTGTAATGAGAGAGCTGCTGGGAGAAAAAATTGATTACAGGGTTGCAGACAATATCATTAATGTTTCTTGCCATGATACACCAGATGTCTTCTCTAATAGACTATTTTTGTTAATTTCATTTTTATAGGATAACATCGATTGCATCATAATTTTCTTTGCATATTCAGGTACTTGTGATCTATGTTTCTACACTAATGACAGCATAAACTCACTTGATTTAATTTTATAAATCTTCACTTATTTATTCATTTTTGTGTCTGTGCTGGATTGGCTGTGCTTTTACCTATTACTGAGAATTTGTTAGCGTGGAAGTGCTGTGTTCACGGGGAGTCAAGGATACAGAAGGAGAAAGGCAGGCAGAGGAGCCATTGTCTAGCTCCTCCCAGCTGCTCAGAGATTTCTCCCACTGCCTGCTGATTAAATGGAGATCACACAGCTGCACTGCAGAGGTGCTGCCCTGTAGGAGGCCTAAAAGGCACATTTCCCCACTGTCACGCATACGGCCCCGAAGCAGGGGTCACTTGGGTTGCACTTGTCTGCCACCTTACTTAGCTGTGTAGTGTTGTGTGTTGGCCACCTCTGCTGAGTGGCTGCTGACTCACATGATTAGGATGGTAGTGTGATAGTGGCCTGAGCTGCTTGGTTTCATACTTTTTGAGAAGAAAACGTTAGTTTTGGTTTCGGTGCATTTTTTTTTAGGGAATTTTTTTCTCTTGACATGTTTCTGTGTCAGTATGTGAGCCTTTTCTAACCCTTTGTTTTCTAAAATACTTGTAAAATGGGCATACAGTTCTTGCCCACCTCCAAGGCTTGTTGCAAAGATCAGTTGGAATAATGCAGTACCATCTGACACATTGTTCATGATGGGGACGAGTGGTGAGATGTTTTCTTAGCGAATTCTGTCACTGTTGGATGGCCATAGGAGAGACTTCCTCAGACCTAGATGGGATCACCTGCTGCACACCTGGGCCTTCTGGTACGGATAATCTGATGTTCCTGGACTCTGAGCCCTACAACTTGTAATTAGATGATTGCTGCAGACAGTTGTAACATAGTGGTATTGGTGTATGCAAAAATACCGGAACAGAAGAAGTACTGGTGAAATACTGGACGATAAGAGTTGTCCAGCTCTATTGTAATCTCCATGGGACTGTCATTGCGTAGGTGGCCCAGTGCTGCCAGAAAGGTTGTGGGCATGACTTTACTTAGCATATAGCAGCCATACAGTAAATGTTGCTTGTTATCACATAAGAGTCCTGATTTCTACAGATTCTGGCTTTAAGAAATTGATCAGTTAAGTATCAAGAGGTGGTGTATGTATGTGCCATTTCCCTCTGATGAGTATAATTATTATACATCACAAACATGCTGAGAGGCAATTCATTAATTGTTTAGACAGTTTTAATCTAAATCCATAGTCTTTTTACTGATACCTGAATTTAAGAGGGATTGTGAACTTCCTGATTTTGCTTGCAAAGGCTTACGTGTGTACGTTTTCTTGGAAAGAGGATCTGTAGTTTTTGACATTGATTGCTAATTGGTAAATTGATACTGAAAGTAATTCAGGAATTAAGATTAAGAACGGCTGTGCAGAGGCTCTGCCATGTGCCCTGTAGAACTTCAGTCAGCTCCTGCTGGGCAGAGATGTAAGCAGATGTTGCGCTCTGCCAGTCTCCTGCTCAGGGGGTTTACCCTGCCTAACCCCACAGCAGCCAGTGATGCTTCACTCTGTAGACCTGAGAACTTTAGATGCACATTTGCATAAAAGTCTTGCCTTCAAGGAATGGCAGGGCTTGCCTGGCCTGGATCAGCTTGCTGCCCACGTGGCCGTCCTAGTAGTGGGGCTGGCTGTTGCCTTCACTTTTCTAAGGAGATCCTGGGTAACCTGTGGCTGTGGTTAGGTCACACTGAGTTTTACCGGCTGCTCTGCTCCTGAATGAGTATGGGGTGCTGGTGTTAGGGATCTACTCTCCGCCCCCTTTTACGGTACTAATGATTGAACCCAGAGGCTCCTCACTGAGCCTTTTCTGGTTTGCTTGTTTGAGGGATAGGAGGATTGAACCCAGAACTTTTGCATTTGAGCTACATTTTCAGGCCTTTAATACGTTTATTTTGAAACAGGAGCTCACTAAATTTCCTAGGCAGGGCTTGAACTTGTGATCCTTCTGCCCAGCCTCCCAGAGTGCTGGGATTACAGGTGTGTGCCATCCTGCCGAACTCTCCAAGAACCCTTTTAAATAAGTAAGTAAGTAAATAAATAAATAAATTTTTGTGGAATAGAGATTGACTACCACTGAGCAAATTCTCAACCCTTTTTAAATTTTATTTTGAGACAGTCTCTTGCTCAGTTGCCCAGGCTGACTTGATAGGTCAAACTCCTGACCTAGGCTCTCGAGCATCTCAGCGCCCCTTGTGAATGGCCACAAGTTTTGTTTTCCTGTCAGTAATTGTAGTGTTTTTGTTAGTGTTCTTTCATTTAAAAAACAAAAGTGACCAATGGCTATAAGTTCTCTCTTTATTCATCTTACTATATACATTTGAAATGTATTAGGTAGTATAGTGCTTGCTGATTTGCTTTTGTTTTTTGGTTTCAAGTAAAACTGCATTAAGAATTGGGGCCCTAAAGTGAATCTCTACTCTCTAGACATACCCGCTCTGGCTACGAAGCTGGGCAGTCCTGCCCAGCATGTGGAACTGACTTTCTGTTTGTGGCATTTGATTGAGGGGCTGTTTATGCCCAGGGCCACCATTGTCTTAGGTTGGTGTCTTTTCACTGGCCCTTTGGCTTTCTTTGACCCATAAGTGGTTT